AATTGTATTGTTTTTGTTTTGTTTTATTGTATTTATTTTACGTTCGGAATAAAGTAAAAAATCTAAATCAAATTCAGCAAAAAAGTGAAGTGTGTGTGTTGCTGCTGTTGCTAAATGTTTTAATTTTTTTGTGTTTGTTTCTTTCAGCGTTCTTTTTATTTAAAAACACGGTTGGTGCATTTTATGTTTTGCAATGCTAAAACCATTTGAGGTTTAAATAAACACTGTTTGAATTGTTAATAATGTGTCTCTGTCATTGAAGTTATGTATTTATTGTAATGACCTTAAAAAGTGGATTCAGCATTGGGGGGAAATTAGCATATTTTCACTCAAAAATAATAAATTTATAGTATATTGCTTGTGTGTTTCAAAGACACTCATGATTAATTTGTAATGTACTCATAATACAAAAAAGTACACTTTAATATCACTAATCAAGCATGTAAATAGGCATATACTTAAAGTGTACTAAGTGTACTTGAAGTTGTTCCAATTTAGTATAGAAAAGTACACTAAATACACTTAAAGTTATACTTTAGTATAAAATACACTTAGTACAAAAATAGTTGATCCAAAATAGCACACTTCAAGTTAACTAATCATTATCACTCTTGAAGTATACTGACAATTAGTCTGGCTGCAAGTATACTTGGTATACTATTTTTTCACTAGGGAACAAACAATCTCTGCAGAACTTCACAATGACCAGTATCTCAAACAAATCTCTTGCTTCATACCTCGGCTTGGATGTTTGTTAATTAATCTCGTAATACAAAGCTCATCATAGCATATCATACGGGATTGTCTTCTCCTTGAAGGAAACATGCACTGAGGTGTCATAATGAGCCATCATAGCACTTATCTACTTTTTGCATTGAGAGTGTGCCTGTACGAAGTTCAGTAGGTTTTGGAACAGAGCCCTCATTTATTTATGAGTAGCTCTCCAATGTTGACAACAACATCCATTTTAAAATATGATGTAAGACGAAAGCCATTTTTCTTCCACAATGCTTAAAGCTGCAATATCAAAGAATCAATCAACAGGTCACATCAACACCAGAACTGCACAAATGGGTGCCATTGTTGAGAGGTCTGGGACATTAGCCTACTTGTTGATGTGTCCCATTTGAGAATCTAGCCCAAAGGAGCACAGCTAGAAGACATTGTTTGAGCAAATTTAACTTTGGACAATGTCAGCGCAATGTAACATTAAATCTGTCACACAAACATTCCCATAGGACCCTCTGCATATGAATACAGGCTATAAAGGTTATTTTGTCCAAAACATTTTTAGGAAGGAACGTTGAAGTATTGTTAAACTAAAACAATACTAAAAAAACATGTATGTGTTAGAAACTGGATGGGTGATGAAACATCAACACAAAGTCCATCTCCATGACACCTTCATGACAACACGAAAACAGGAAGTCACACAAATGCACACATGCATCTTCAGTGTTAACCAGTATTCCAAGTTACATTAATATCTATATATGTGACCCTGGAGCACAAAACCAGTCATAAGTAGCACGGGTAAATTTGTAGCAAAAGCCAAAAATACATTGTATGGGTCAAAATTATAGATTTTTCTTTTATGCCAAAAATCATAAGGATATTAAGTAAAGACCATGGTCCATGAAGATATTTTGTACTTTTCCTACCGTAAATATATATAAAAATGTATTATCATTAGTAATATGCATTGCTAAGGAATTTAAAGGCGATTTTCTCAATATTTAGATTTTTTTTTGTACCCTGATATTCCAGATTTTCAAATAGTTGTATCTCAGCCAAATATTGTTCTATCCTAACAAACAAATATGATTTATTCAGCTTTCAGATGATGTATAAATCTCAATTTCAAAAAACTGACCCTTATGACTGGTTTTGTGGTCCAGGGTCACATATATAAATAAATGCTTCAAAAGCCTAAATAAATCATATTTTGACCCACCAATTAACTTTTAAAATGCTGTATTAATAAACCTCTATTTCATTTACAACTTTACCTGAATGCTTTATGTGTAACAGCAATACTAATAACTGATCTGGCTTCAGCGAAACACTGGGAAAAAAAGAACAAGAAGAGAGAAAAACAGCAGCATTTTTTTAAATGCCTCTTAATGAAATAGAAAAGATTCTGTGAACAGATTAGCATCCAAGAAACTCTTGGAGTTACTCAACAATACAATAACATCATAAAGCCAAATTTCATTTCATTTTATTTTTACATCAGCTTGCAACTTGTGTTTCCCCACTCCCTCCCTCTCAGTGTCAACCAGAGCAGGGGGCTGGACTGCACTGACAGAACTCTTTCAGTCACTTCAGGCTTTTTCAGTTTAGAGTCAGTGAAAGAGAGACAAGACCTAGTCTGAGAACAAGACTAAGAAAAGGAGGCATTCAAATATAAAAGTTGCCTCACTTTTATTCTGGATGGTAAGGGAAAAGTGAGGAGTGACGGTACTACCCTTGCATAGAAACCAAAGATAGTTGGAGAGGAACCTGAAGAAAGACAACTTTTAAAGAGCCTCAAAAACTTGTATGGAATTGCTCAGGATCAAAACATAAGCCGTTTTCATTATTTATTTTTCATTTTGCAAGTCTCTTTCACTCTTTGACCATGAGGCACATGCATCTGCTGAGTCTGGGTGAGTCATGCTTCAGATTTGTTCAGGATTGAAGTTTCCACTGATTAATGTAGAGACAGATGTTTATGTTTATGACTTCATTTCTTCTGCATGGGGAACTCAAAATAAGTTATTTTGAAAAATGTTGGTAACAGAACCGTTTTGATAACCATTGACAAAAAATAACTTTTTAAAACATCCTTTTTGATGAACCACAGAAGAAGGAGGGTTTGAAATGACACGAGGGTGAGCAAATTATGACATATTTTTCATTTTGGGGTGAACTATCCCTTTAAAGCTTGAAGTTACATGGCTATGATTTTGACAGTGGAAAACATTGGCGGAAAACGAATCAGGACAGGAAATCCCAGATGTTTTCATGTGTCCACAGCTGAGAGGCCCAGGCTGATAGGACGATGACATTAAACCAAGGAAAGGCTGAAGAGGGAAAAAATGTTCCATAAACTTTACTGTTAGACTAAAAAGAATAAATATTGTTTGCCTGGTGCTTGTTTACAAAATAATAAGCAAGACCACACCTTAGAATATGGGTGAGTCTCCAATGTGGTTGTAAAAGGGTTACAGCACTTTTGAACAGTCTTCTAGCTGACCCAGCCTGTGGTCAGTGCATGTGACAGTGTGTTGATCTGTATGCTGGTTCTGTAAGTTAAATCTGTTGCTGCACAGCACCCCACCCATAGCTCTCGAGCTGTGTACTTCCTGACTGGCCATCATTTCAATGCAACTGTCATGAACAATGAGTGGAAATAGAATTAGCTGAATATAATTCTTCTTCTTCCAACTTTGTCTTCTAAGACTGTTACTCAGTAAATTGAATGCCAGTTTAGCCATTATAGGCAATAAATCATTTTGGGTCATTTTAGCATGTCTTACCTATAAGATTAGGTTGGGTCAAAATATCTGGCATGCACGACAGCAAAATAGTCAATGGTACTATTGTTTTTAAACAAAGTTTATTTACAGTGATGTCCAATAGTCTGAAACCACTATTGAAAATGCTTCTATAAATATGATTTTTTAAAAAGACAAACACTTTCATAACATGAATGCTTGAAACCTGAAAAGTCCAATTGAAAATTAACACAAATTTTTGAATGTCTATTATTTGACTTTGATCATTCCCAAATGTATTTGCATATTTTCAGGTTTACATAAAAAATCCCAGATTATCAATTTGGTCTCAGACTTATGGATCTCACTATATGTGCATCAAACTACACCAAAGACATGAAACCTGCAGTAACAGACTCTTTATTTTCTGCTTACAGGTCTTCTAGCATTGACAGAGAACATCCTGATGCAAACACCCTGTGGACATGGATATAAGAATCAAAGAAGAAAGTGTGTAGGTATGAATAATAAAAAAGCCAAGATATATAATACATTCATACATTTCTTAAACAACTTTTTTGTGTTGACAACTCTTATGTCAGGGCTTAAAAGGATTTTACTTGGGTTGTACATGCCAGCATTTATACCGGACACACACACACATAATAATAATAATCAAGCTCTGTTGATGTTATATATTATTGAATAGCTGGAACTTCTACTGCACACATGGGACACATTTATGAAACAACACTCATTAATGAATTGTAGATAAAAATCAAGAAAAAGTGCTGTGGCTATTCACACTTTTTCTGTCATTTCTATAGATGAAAATGAGTGTGAGTCTGATCCACCCATTTGTGGAAAAAATGCAATATGTTTCAATACTGATGGAAGCTACTACTGCCGCTGTCATGAAGGATTCACTCCAACTAATAATTTCACACAAGCGGATGCAATTGACTGCACAGGTAAAGAGAGCTTGATTTGATGAATCTCATATGAACTTTGTGCAGCAGTGAAAACATCTGAATTTCTGTTCCTCTCATTTCAGACATCAACGAATGTGTGAATGGCAGCACTGATTGTGGTCCTAATGCAAAATGTATAAATTCTGAAGGAGGTTATAATTGCACATGTCAAACTGGCTACATTTCCAGCAATGGAAAAGAGATATTTAATTCAGGACAAGGAGTTCATTGTATTGGTAAGAAACTATTTTAGCCTTGATATTTTTGGGCCATCTATTTGCTTGCAACCTAATGTGAGAGTTTTCAGTTGGCATGTTTTTGTTTATTATCTGTCCCTAAATTACAGACAGAAATGAATGTGACGATTCCAGTTTTTGTGGAAAACATGCAACATGTCATAACACTGCTGGCAGTTTCTACTGTATCTGTGCTGCAGGATTCAGACTAAAGTCAGGAGAAACTAACTTCACTGATATATATAAATCATGCGAGAATAGGTCCTTTAAAATGGTTCATGTTCACATTTTGACACACTGAAGTTTATTTTTGAGAAATGTAAGATCCTTCTCCAAAATGCTGTTCTGATGTTGTTGAAGGTGTATGTGAGATTGATAAATCTATATGTGGAGGAGGAGTCTGCAAAAACAACAAAGACGGCCTTGAATGTGTGTGCAGTTCAGGATTCACTAACTATGGTCACAAACGAATGAAATGCACAGGTCAGAGTTCTCTCTTGAAAGTTCATTTTGGTTAAATACCTCTTATATCTCATGCTTTCCCATAATTCAGAGCACACAACGGTTGCCTGGGTTTGCACCAAACAATAGCCTAATATTGTTGACTTGTTACCATGTTAGGTTACCAGTTTTTTGAGTGTAATATTATTGATTCTTGTTTAATGATTCGTTTTGCAAACAAACTCGATCTGTGCTGTTGGTCTGAATATCAGATGTGATCACTTAATCACAGCCATGAAACTGGTAAGAAATAGGTCTACACAAAAAAATATGACACGTCAGTATCATACATAAATTTATTTTTACATTCGCAATGTGGTTTTTGCCTTTCAGAAGTGGTGATGTTGCGAAAGAGGGACAGTTCTCCACCTGATTTGATAATGTCCACCAGCGATACACAATTTACCTCCCACTGGGACACAGCAACAGGAAATAATCACCTTGGTATATATTCCTAATTTCATTTATTCAAATTTTAAAAATACAATAAAATACAATTAAAAGTCTTTGTGCATCAACCAGGCTTTACGACCGCAGCTTTCCTCAGCTACAAAAGTCTGGAGAAATCACTCAACAGCTATTTTAACCATTTAGAGACATGGCAAAACCAAACTTTCAAAATCAATTCAAAAGTTGTAACTGCCACTGTTAGTAACAATGAGACAACCAATCTAAAGAAACCAGTACATCTCACGTTTTCTCACTTGGAGGTATGGAACAATTTACTCTCAATGTACCTCATACAATGTGTTACACCAATGTGATGGATTCTTAATTTATATTTCTACATATACATTTCCCTCCAGAAAAAGAATGAGAAGCATATCTGTGTGTTTTGGGATCATAAACTGGAAGGGGGCGCGTGGTCAACACGGGGCTGCACTACAGTGAGCTCCAGTGCTGATCAGACCGTCTGCTTCTGTTCTCACCTCAGCAGTTTTGCTGTGCTGATGGCTCTCTATGACATTGGGGTTTGTATTCTTAACTTTTGTCACCAAAACTTGAGAACATCATAACATAAAAGTAAAACTAATAAGACAAAAATATTTTTTAGGCACTGAAATTATTTAAATAATGTTAGTTAAGTGTGCAAATGTCTTATAGTATGGCTATAGCCTTTTCCCACAATCCTGTGTGTTCCATTCCTTGACAGTTGAGCTAACAAAAAAAAAACGGTGTCTGAAAGTTGCAGCTTTTGGTGGTGGTCAGCTTTTGTGTAAATCTATATTTTTTAACAACTTTTAAAATTAGTATTGTAGTCGTATTCCTCTTGTTAAGCCACTCCTGAACGTCAGAGGCGTCTTACCTGGGCTAAGGAGAAGAAGAACTGGACTGTTGCCCAGTGGTCCAAAGTCCTCTTTTCAGATGAATTTGAGTTGAATTACTGAAATAAATGAACTTTTCCACGACATTCTAATTTATTGAGATGCACCTGTATGCTTAGTTATCACCAAATCTATCTCTAATTTGTTGTAGATCATTTATGCTGCCTCAGAAGTCTGTTTGAAATTAGTTTCATCGGGTACCTTAATGCTCAAACGTTGCCTGCAAATTCGCTGACTTGCTACCTAAACTTTCGGACACAGCCAATGACATACTAGCATGTGCAACAGAAGATTAAATACATGCTGCAACAGAAAGCAGATACTTATATGTGCTCACACTCTAACTGTAAGGTAAAATCTGTTAAGGAGAATCTTCATTTACTCTCTTAACTAGGATGTATACGAGCTGCGTCTGGTCACATTGGTGGGACTGCCACTGTCTCTGGTCTGCCTCCTCATCTGCATTGTCACATTTTACTTAGTGCAATCCATCCAGAGCACACGCAACACCATCCACCTCCACCTCTGCATCAGCCTCTTCATCGCCTACTTTGTGTTCCTCGTGGGCATCACCCGCACAGAGAATAAGGTAAACTGTGGCTTCACATGAGTTCATAGTTCTGGATTGGTTTGTCTGGTTCTGAAGTGATAATAAACATCCTGAATGTTCACCTCCTGTCCTTCAGGTGGGCTGTGCAGTCGTTGCAGGCATTCTGCATTACTTCTTCCTGGCTTCCTTCTGCTGGATGTGTCTGGAAGGAGTGCAGCTCTTCCGCATGGTGGTGCTGGTCTTCAACACAACGCTGAGACCCTTCTACATGTTTGCCGCTGGTTATGGAGTTCCTGCTGTTATTGTTGCCATTTCAGCCACAGTGAATGCAAGCGGATATGGTACTGATAGCTAGTGAGTTTCAGACATTACTGATATCTTTGCAGACGCTAATCAGAATTTCAGGTTTGTTTGTGATGGTATTAAGATGTTTTTCTTTATTTGTAGCTGTTGGCTCAACATTAAAGATGGCTTCATCTGGAGCTTTTATGGGCCAGTTTGTGTCATAATTATTGTAAGTACCTCTTAACATGACACTTTCCACAAATAGATTAGAAAACAGGATCTGAAAGTCAAGGCAATGACAGAAGGCCAAAATATATATATATATATAATCTAAATAATTAAAAGGGTAAATGGCTTGCTACAATACAATGACATAAAAAGTTCCCAATGTTTTTTGTTGTTGTGTGTCACAATTTTTTGTACCATAAAACATGTCACAATTTTTAGGAAATTCTAAAATACTTATATGAAGTAGTGTGCAAAATTTAAGACACACTGTAAAAAGTGTTAACATGTAATTGTTACAAAAAAAGAGGTATTTCTACCTAATTTTATGTTTAAAATAGTGTAATAGTATAATTTAAAGGGATAGTTCACCCAAAAATTTTAATTAGCTCATAAATTACTCACCCTCAAGTCATCCTAGGTGTATATGACTTTCTTCTTTCAGACGAATCCAGTCGGAGTTATATTAAAAATTGTCCATGCAAAAAAAATATCCATATTCAAAACGTAATAATCACTTTAATGTAGCTTGCGCTCACTGTTGTTCACTGGAAGCAGTTCCGGGCGGATGACGTATGGAGGTCGGTGTTGCGCATGCGCCGCTCAGAAGTGACGCACGTGGAAGCGCAGGGGAGAGATCAAAACAAAACAACGGTCACTAATTAGAAGTACAAAATGAGGATTTGTAAAGAAGAATGAAGGATTTCGATATAAGCCAAGAGGAGACTGGTTTTCCTTTGCTAAAGTAAGGAAACTTTGCTTCCTTTGCTCCTGTAAACAAACGTTGGTTTTCACGAGACTCACCGGTGCGTGCACAGCGCTGACCTCATCCGTCATCCGCCCGGAGCTGCTTCCAGTGAACAACAGTGAGCGCAAGCTACATTAAAGTGATTATTACGTTTTGAATATAGATATTTTTCTTACAAAAACACATCGATTCGCTACAGAAGGCCTTTGTTCACCCCCCGGAGCCATGTGAGACACTTTTTTTATGGATGGGCGCTTTTTTTTTACTGCTTTTGTACTGATGCATGCAACACCCGCTGAGTGGCATTAAACAGCTTGAAACATCAAAGACCATTTTTAATATAACTCCGACTGGATTCATCTGAAAGAAGAAAGTCATATACACCTAGGATGATTTGAGGGCGAGTAATTTATGGGCTAATTTTCATTTTTTTGGGTGAACTAACCCTTTAAAACACCAAAGTTTATGCTATTACTAGAAAGTGCCACATTACCAACAATCAAAATTCTCTTAAAATAAATTGAAAGAATGAAAGAAATTGTTTAAACTGTAAGTTGTGCCTGTTTGTTTCAGGTTAATGTATTCTTCTTCCTCATAACAATATGGAAGCTGGCAGAAAAATGTTCCTCCCTTAACCCAGACTTAAGCAGTCTACGCAAAATCAAGTGAGAAATGTTATTAAAGCCTATATTTATATACTACTGATCATAGTTTGGAATAATTGTGATTTTATTGATGTTTTTAAATGATGTCTCGTATGCTCTAATGCAGCCCTTTTTAGCTTTCCGATCTCTGTCTCCACTTACAGGGCATTTATGGTCACTGCGATTGCTCAGCTGTGTATCCTTGGCATCATGTGGGTGTTTGGCTGTTTTCAGTTTGATAAAGGCACTCTGGCAATGTCATACATCTTCACTATACTGAGCAGCCTGCAGGGGGTGCTGATGTTCTTCATGCACTGCTGGCTCTCAAAACAAGTGAGTCCTGTTCCTCTCATTACAAAGATGCAGAGATTAGTAAAAATATGGAATGACAGATCACTCATGGCTTTGTCAAAATATTAAGCCTGGGACGAGTAATAATAAAACAATAAATGTTGACACAGGACAGGGAATGATGAATAGAACATTAAAAAAGAACACTAGAAAGAATTACAGTTCATTTATAATAGCAAACTGTTTAGTGAGAGGTGGCTGGGTTTAAATATGCAATTATTGAATCAAATGATTGAAACTGAATATAATTATTATTATTGTATTAGTAGTTTTGAGGTTATGTTGATTGTAAAGACCCCATGACATGTTTTTTCCCTATAAAAAGTAGTCAATAGAATTTTATTTGCCACTTGCTAGTCAGTTTCAGTTAATATAAGGGGTGGCACATTTTCATTCTAGAGTGCATCTGATTGGACAAAAATCTGTTTAGTGCAGAATGAGTCACATGTTTTTGGTCTGTTTTCCGGGAAGAGAATGACTGTACATTTTAAATGCGTATCTGGATAGGTTTGTCACCTTTTAAGCATTTTTAGCTCAAAGGGAATTAATAACTGTATTTATATTTATTTTCCTGCTCTTGCAGAGTATAATTTAGACATGATTTCTATAATGAGAATATGATCAATTTTTTCAAGAAATTATATCAACATTTGAGACATACTATACGCACATATAAACCTATAAACTATTCAATAGCCTCGTTATTCATAATGCCATTAATAACCTTGGATGAAAGCATAATAGTCAAACATCAGGTTACAGACATTATATGGAATTATGCAATGGAATTATGTTTTGTTATAAGTCCTCTTAGCATAATTTTTGGATCATCGTATGTGTCTTTTATATATAAAGACAGTCTCTGTGCCGTTCGTTCTAAGATCTAACAGAGAATATTAGCATTCAGTTGACGTCAAAGATCATAAACATAGACTAAAAGCCACTAAACTCTCACAAACACATTTGTTATGATCATAAATTGATGATCATAAAAATGCACTTGCTATTGTCTGTGATAAATGTCTTTGTAACTTCCTGACAGGTGAGAGAGGAGTATGCCAAATTCCTGTCCTGTATCTGTGCACCACAGAAGAGGAAATATACAGAGTTCAGCTCAAACCAAACAAGCAAATCGCAGGTAAACTTAGTCTCAAAGAGGAACCGGTTAGCTCTTGTTTTGCGAATGTGTGCACATTAAAGTAATAGTTCACCCAAAAATGAACATTTGTTGAAAATGGCCATCCAAGTTTTAGATGAATTTGTTTCTTCATGGGAACAGATTTGGAGAAATGTATCATTATCATTTGCTCACCAATCGATCATCTGCAGTGAATGGTTGCCTTGTAATAATCAAATCCATCATTAAATGTGGGGTAGGAGTCAGGCCGAGTACCAAAACAAACTTGTAGCCAATCAGCAGTAAGGGGCGTGTCTACTCAGGATGCAGAGGAGAGAGCGTTCAGTGCACAGGACGGACATTAGCAAGGCGAGCGATGACAGAAAGATAGAGATATTGGATAAAAACAAAAGAGGAAAACGTCTGCGGAACAAAAGAAGGCTTACGATAAGGCAAGACCTAGGACCTGTGTAAATATCGGATCAGCTTTTCAGCGCTGGAGAGAACTCAAGGAGCGGGAAGGCCTGCGATCGGACGCCGAGGTTGCTTTGTTTCTTCTCCATAGGTGAGTAACACCGTGTCTGCGCCGCAACAGCTAAAGTCTGTCTAAACTGGACGCGACAAAGTGACCGTTATAAATCAATTTAAATTTGTGTCAATACGTCATAAATAGAACGCAGCAGCAGTTTTCTGTCGGGGATTTGTCATGTCGTGCCGCATCCAGTGTAGACAGCATCACTGATTATAATGAGTTCTATAATATTTTGTCGTGCCGCTCACGTCCGGTGTACACTCTTACATCCAGTGGTGCTTCAGAAGGTTCTTCACAGCGATGCCATAGAAGAACCATTTTTGGTTCCACAAAGAACCATTCAGTCAAAGGTTCTTTAAAGAACCGTCTCTTTCTTACCTTTTTGTAATCTGAAGAACCTTCTTTTGCCACAAAGAACCTTTTGTGAAACAGAAAGGTTCTTCAGATGTTAAAGGTTCTTTATGGAACCATTTAGACAAAAAGGTTCTTCTATGGCATCGTGAAGCACCTTTATTTTTAAGAGTTTAGACACGGTGTAACATTGGTTTTGCTTTGTTTCACAGAACTAATCGTTGCCTGGGTTGCGTATGTATGTGTGGGGCAGAGCTATCAAAATAGGGGCGAGACCCTTTTGGGGTAGGGGCGTGTTTATTTTGGTGATTTCAAATGTCAACATTGGCTACTACCAGAAATCGCTTACCCCATCTTAAAGGTTTTAACCATTGCTTCCATCTAAAATATGAGTCCTCTATCCATAATATTGTTTTCTCCAGCGAAAAAGTCATCTTGTCCCAATCAGGGGAGAAATATGCACAGATGAAGCTCCGTTCACAAGCAAAAACAGTCCAAAATTGTTCTAAACTAATACATTAGTGGATTTTGATGTGAGACGAAAACAGAAGATGGACTTTCACTGGCAGAAGTGTTATTGTGGATTATGTACTGGTGTTTTGGCCTGAATTGACACTGTAAAGTCAAAATGCCTCAACGATGGATTTGTTTATTACAATCATGCAGCGTTTCACTTTACAAGAAGTTAACTGATAGAGTTGTGTCGATTACTTGTGGATTATTGTGACGTTTTTATCAGTTGTTTGAACTCTCATTCTGACGGCACCCATTCACTGCAGAGGATCCATTGCTGAGCAAGGGATGTAATGCTACATTTCTCCAGATCTGTTCCCATTTAAGAAGCAAACTCAATTACATCTTGGGTGACCTGAGGGTGAATACATTTTCAATAAATTTTCTTTTTTGGCAACTATTCCTTTAACATTTTGAGACCATTAAATGTGTTTACTTGCTTTGACATCATCATCAATAAAGTCATGAGTTGAAGCGTACTCATTACAATAATAACACGGATGTCAAAGATCACAAACTACCTGCATGCTCAGAAGGGAAACAGCATTTCTTATTTGCATGTTTGCTTTCTGAATGCTAAAGAAGGGAGGTGATGATCGTTGGAGCATTTTAGTCAAACAAAGCTGTGTTTTCCTGTAATAATTAGTTGTGACTGTGAATATAAATGAGCTAGACAAATCATCTGACTGCCTGCACTCTTTCACAGGCCTCCAGGAGCAATAATCACACTGGTGAATCGCACATTTAAGAAGCCATTTCAACAAACCATTCAATTTTTCATCTGTTTGCAAGAGTGCTTTTCTGTGGAAATGTTCATAAATTGTATTTGGGGAATTCTTCTTTTAGGGGAACTTTTCTTTCCCTTAGGATTGTTTTATAAAGAAACTTGTAAATGCTTTTAAAGAAATCTTTATTTTTCAAGGACATATTACAATAGAGTCTCTTTGTTTTGTTGTATATTGATTTTTTATTTTTTTTTTGCTGCAATTTCTCCTTAAAATCAAGAACATGATTCAGTTTGAGGTCAGTAAGTTTTTTTAATATATATACAGTCAATTAACAATTATCCTCATACACCTGCAGGTAATAGATATGTGTGTAGGAAAACAGACCAATCCAAGTCCAAAAAAAAACCAAAAACACCCCCACAGTCCCGCACACTATCAGTGCTTGCACATATATCCAAAACTTTTTCAACAACGTTTCAGTCCCATGACCTTCATCAGGTATGCAAAAAAGATTCAGGCACATCCTCATTTAAAATCAACACATGGCCAATCACTGCATATATTTACACTGCATTATATCATTACCAATCACAATCAATGACGCAGGTTACCGAAGGTTTCCTAAAATATATATATATATATATTTTAGGAAACCTTCGGTAACCTGCGTCATTGATTGTGATTGGTAATGATATAATGCAGTGTAAATATATGCAGTGATTGGCCATGTGTTGATTTTAAATGAGGATGTGCCTGAATCTTTTTTGCATACCTGATGAAGGTCATGGGACTGAAACGTTGTTGAAAAAGTTTTGGATATATGTGCAAGCACTGATAGTGTGCGGGACTGTGGGGGTGTTTTTGGTTTTTTTTTGGACTTGGATTGGTCTGTTTTCCTACACACATATCTATTACCTGCAGGTGTATGAGGATAATTGTTAATTGACTGTATATATATTAAAAAAACTTACTGACCTCAAACTGAATCATGTTCTTGATTTTAAGGAGAAATTGCAGCAAAAAAAAAATAAAAAATCAATATACAACAAAACAAAGAGACTCTATTGTAATATGTCCTTGAAAAATAAAGATTTCTTTAAAAGCATTTACAAGTTTCTTTATAAAACAATCCTAAGGGAAAGAAAAGTTCCCCTAAAAGAAGAATTCCCCAAATACAATTTATGAACATTTCCACAGAAAAGCACTCTTGCAAACAGATGAAAAATTGAATGGTTTGTTGAAATGGCTTCTTAAATGTGCGATTCACCAGTGTGATTATTGCTCCTGGAGGCCTGTGAAAGAGTGCAGGCAGTCAGATGATTTGTCTAGCTCATTTATATTCACAGTCACAACTAATTATTACAGGAAAACACAGCTTTGTTTGACTAAAATGCTCCAACGATCATCACCTCCCTTCTTTAGCATTCAGAAAGCAAACATGCAAATAAGAAATGCTGTTTCCCTTCTGAGCATGCAGGTAGTTTGTGATCTTTGACATCCGTGTTATTATTGTAATGAGTACGCTTCAACTCATGACTTTATTGATGATGATGTCAAAGCAAGTAAACACATTTAATGGTCTCAAAATGTTAAAGGAATAGTTGCCAAAAAAGAAAATTTATTGAAAATGTATTCACCCTCAGGTCACCCAAGATGTAATTGAGTTTGCTTCTTAAATGGGAACAGATCTGGAGAAATGTAGCATTACATCCCTTGCTCAGCAATGGATCCTCTGCAGTGAATGGGTGCCGTCAGAATGAGAGTTCAAACAACTGATAAAAACGTCACAATAATCCACAAGTAATCGACACAACTCTATCAGTTAACTTCTTGTAAAGTGAAACGCTGCATGATTGTAATAAACAAATCCATCGTTGAGGCATTTT